CCTCCCCCTGTGAGCTCTCCCCTGAAAGCACACACGGAGTTCTGGTCCCGCAGCCTGGGGATCAGCACCGGACTGACTCACACCATCCTCAGCCCACACTCCCTGCCCCTTCCCAGACTCCCTTCACAGACCCCAGTCGGGCTGATTCACCTGTGCAGGCAAACACCCGCCACAGTCAACCACACATTCCCTGAAACCCCCAGGAGAACCCCCCGTGCACGTACGCAACTCTTGATAACAGACATCCACTGTGATCAGTGGACACGAATAACACACCCCACAGCTGTGAAAGGTCATCCCAAAGCTGCACCATCTTTCCTGGGTCCTCCTCCACCTCCCACAAGGCCTGCTCTCCATCCTCTTTCCACGAGCCCCATTCCCCATCTCCCCTTCTCCTCTGGAGCCCACTCCTAGTCCTCCTTCTATGGGGCCTGCTCCCCATTCCTTCCTCCTTTCCATGGATCTGCACCCCCCCCCATTTACTTCCCACGGGTCCTACTCCCTGCCTCATCCACCCCCAGTAAGGGGCTCCTGGTTCACCTTCCACTGACCTGGTGCAGGTCAGTGGCAGTCCGGTTGTACCTGCAGAGCCTCCAGTCACACAATGTCAGGGAGACAAAAGTGCCACCTTGCAAAGGGCAGTCTGGACCCCACCCGCGTACATTTGCCACCCGGGGAGCAGGCTGGGCCAGCAGCAGCTGCCAAAGCAGGACCTGCTTGGGAGGAGAGTGACTGAAACACCTGCACCCACCCCATGCCCACATCTGCTGAACTGGCTTCCTCCTGTGAGGCTGCAGATGTCGGTTGGGTATGGGTTAGGCACCTGTGGCTCTAACCACACCTCCACCTGCAGGTTGGGTGGACCAAGGCCACCTGAAGGTAAGCACAGGCCATGACCTCGTCAGGCTCCTGGCATGGGTGGGGCCAGCTCAGCTCGGGCAGCACAGCAGGACTGCAGGAGGAAAGGGCATCTGGGAGACAGAGTTTGGGGGCACAGGGTGCTGCCGCCAGTAGGGCCGGAGTCAGTGTCCAGGTGTTAATTCCTGAGAGGAGCCAAGGCTTCGGGAGACAGCAATATGCACACACACCAACGGCACACGCATGTGAGGACACCCACACTCAGAGGAAGTCCCCATGCGGCATGTCCCCAACATGCCCTTACCCGGAAAAGATGAAAAAGACCTTCTTAGAAACAGATCTGGCAGGACCTCTATGATAAAGAGACACCTGACCCAGCAGCACTGCTATCTGACATCTGTGAGTGTGTAGCCGCCTGCACTGGCTGTATTTTCTTTTCCTGTGGCTGTTTTGACAAATTACCACAAACTGGGTGGCTTAAAACAACAGAAATCTATTCTCTACTGGTTTTGGAAGCTAAAGGTCTGAAATCAATTTCACTTGACAGAAATCAGGGTGTCAGCAGAGCCACGGTCCCTCCAGAGGCTTGAGGGGAGAATCCTTCCCGGCTCTAGAGTTTCTAGTGGCTCCAGCATTAGTTGTTTTGTCAGGGTTCTCCAGAGACAGAATGAATAGGGTATGCAGCATACAGAAAGCAAGATTTATTATAACAAATCAGATCATGTGGCTATGGACCATTCTCCCTGGAAACCTGTGGTCCTATCAAAACTCTCGGCTGCCAATGGTATCCCCGAGCCTTCTGCCCTGCCCCAGGGCCTTTGCACCAGCTGTTTCTTCTACTCCACTCCATTTCTCCTCTTTGCATCCCTCATATCTGACTTACTATCCCCATTTGTGGTCCATCTTCCCTGATACTGAAATGCTATTTCCACGGCAGAGGCCTGGGTGCCTAGGACAAGCAGGCCCAGAACAGGGGTTCAGAACTCTGTAGTGACATACCCCAGAGGGACTGTTTCTTCCCCAGATGTTGTGGGGCCAGTCACATTACCTCAACACAGGAGATGGGCTGTGCTTGATGTGAGGGCTCACCCAACAGCAGTAGAGCAGATGTAAAGCCCCAGGCGTATGCACGTGGATGAGAATGTGTCGGGTACACCAGGAAGTCAGCTAATGAAAGGCTTGTTTCACTGATTTCACCCCTGTGCATGACAGCATCGCCACATGCCCACTCTTGTCAGAGAAAAACAGGCCTTTGTGGGATATAAATAGCCTGGCCAGATGTGGGAACGCCTGCGGGTCTCTCCAGGGCTCCGTTCACGTACCCTCCAGCTGCATGTCCAGGGGCAGAAGAGGTTAAACTGTGGTCCCTCCTGCTTCATCAAAGCCATCCTGCCATGTGGGCTCGCCCTTCGTGTCAGTGTGCACCAGAGACAGTTGTGAGTGAGGAAAAGGGCCTGGATGTATCCACAAAGAGGAAGACAGGGATCCGAACACTGGGGCCTTTGGTCGTGGTGGAAGGCTTGCCCAGTAAACAGTCAGAATGCTCGTGCAGAAGAGGTGCAATCAAAGCAGGGAACCCATTTCTTTGGTATGAACAGCAAGTCAGCCTGGCACTGGGCCGCTAGGGGACACCTCACAATTGGTAAGACCATGGGACGGTCGTTGGAGGTTTTATAATTGTTTGCAGAAACGCAAAATCAACAGCACTTACAGCTAGTTAAAGGTATTCTGAAAGCCTGATGTTGGTTATTCATCAGAGCTTCCCAACCTAAAGGCTAGGCCTTGAAGGAAGTAGGACCTTAAGTACAGAGTGCACCAAAGAAAAGTCCAGAATCCCTGCTTCCAACAGAAACACCAGGCCAGCTGCACATACGTGATTTCAATGCACTGAAATGTCATGTCAAGAGAGTAAAAGCAAGCAGGTAAGTGGTTTTAAAATATTTTTTATTTAACCCAACACTCACCCAAAGCACAGTCGCTTCCACATATAATTAACAGTCACGCAGGAGATGCCAGTAGCTAGGTTCTGTAGCTAGGTTCCGCAGCCTTGCCACGGCGCAACACAGCACAGACATAAAGCATGGACACTCCACACTGCCTCTGTGTGGCCACTCTGTCGGAGCTGGGTGGCCCCAGCTGTGGAAGCTCAGGTCACTCTAAATGGCCCCAACAAAGCCTGAGTAGCGTGAGTCTCCTGGATGGAGTGCTGGATAGCCTGTCCTGGGGTTGGCTCCTCGGAGCTATCCTCGGCCGTCTTCAGACAGTAAAAGCTCAGACCACATGTCAGCAGTGCCCCTGGCACCCTGGATGCCCACAGCGGGTGGCCCTAAGGCCACTATCCAGATGACAATCTCACAGGGCTGTGTCTGCAGAAGTATTTAACTCCTTCTCCAGGGTCTCTAACTTACATCAGCAGTAGCCCCGCTGAACTCTGAGTGGCACCTGAACACCTCCCATTTCTTGCCCGTGCATCACCCTGCTTCTGGGGCCCCCTGGCACCTGGGCAGCATGTGCACCCCACAATCAGTTAAGATGACGGGATTGCTGTAAACTACCAGGGGAAGAAAAGAATGAAAACCTAAGGCCCAGGTAGCACTATTCAAATTAATTCATTAAGCGACATTCAAGTTAATTCTTTCCCGCATTCAAGTTCACCACAAATGCAGGGGCTTTAAGGCTTTAGGCCTAAGAGAAGAAATTGCAGGTGGGACATGAAACTGTGTCTGCTGCTCTCTGCTCCCCCCAGGTAGGTGTCCGTGATCTACCTGGGAGGCCTTGGAGCCCTTCCACCCTCCTGCTGCATGCTTTGGGGATGCTACCTGCAGTGAACCCCAGAGTAGGTACCCAAGCATGCCCTGACCATCCACACCTAGCAGCTGAGCCTCCAGACCGCCTGCCTGGCCCCTGGTTCCATGAAGAGGACACATGACCCCAGAGGTCAACCTCCACTCAGTGCAGTCTCCCCAGGACCACCACAGACTCGGATGGTGCAGTGTCTGTGTGAAGTACTCAAACCAGCAAAGTGGGTCTCCGAAAAATATTGTTTTCCTTCCACTTCAGTGCAAGTTCTAGAATACTTTGAATCCTCCTTTTTCCCTTTTTAAAGTTCCCTTTGTATGCAGACTGTCTGCAATTGAAAGGTAAGCCAGGGGAGAGTCCTAACATGGGGGAGAGGGGCCAGCAGCTCAGAGACCAAACCCAGCTCTCTCCCTGAGAAAAAGGTCAGTGAGCACCAAGGCTTGCTGGAGGGGATGCAATAACTCAAAACATCCTACATGCTGAAAACTAAAGCTCCTTCTGGGGACTGCCCTAACACAGACGTGTCTGCACACACCTCTAATCCAGGTCCCCGGGACAAGCCGCAGGCACTGCAGGTCTGAAGTGGCAGTGCCCCTCCCAGCTTGGGTGTGACTGGTGCCCCAACCCCAACCAGCACCCCTACCCGTCCTGCCCTTGCCCCCCTCCACTGCCTGTCCATAGCTGCCAGGAACTGGGTCCTGGGTATTCCTCTAACTCTTCTAGAAGTTTATTCTTAGCTGCTGGCCCCCAACCAAAACAAACAGGCTCCCTCTAAAGACTCTGGCTCAGTTAGAACACGTAAGCTCAATGGAAACAAGAGCTGAAGACAGTCCTCTGGGGCCACAGCGGGGCCTGTCGCCATCTAGCCAGAGCTTCAGCCCCCCTGTTAGGCGTGACCACCACCGCTGGCAACTGAGGGGTGTGACTGGTGGACTCAGGGCTGATCCTGCCTGTGTCTGACCCTACATAGGGGCACGGCAGCGAAGGCAGCATGAATGGAGAGCAGCAAAGGCAGCAGGAACAGGGCGCAATGAGGCGTTGGACCAGTCCCAACCCTGGGCAGTGAGCCCAATCTGCAGCACCCCCTTCTTCTGCTGTCTGGGAAACTGGCATCGACCACTGGGTAACCCACCTGCGGCCCACACCCTGGCATTGCCTCTTCTACTCACGTCCCACAGGCACCTATGTTCCCTAAAGCCTAGTCCCCTACATGACAAGAGACCCACTGTCCTCCTCGCCTTCAAGTCACCCAAGGGTGCCAGAACACAATAAACACCGAGTAGTTCACCGACTCTCCCAATTCCAGAAAGAACCACTCTCTGCAGGCGGAGCTCACTTCCTACCTGATGATCGGGGTCCTCAAACATCTCAGCCATCAGGACTCAGCTTCTTCCTGCTGTCTGTGGTGGCAGAGTCTGAAACAGTCAGGAAAGGGGAGGCTTCAGCAGGGGAACTTTGAGCCAGAATCTCCTCCTCCCTCCCCCCATGCACGCAAAGTGCCAAGCCACTGAGCAGGCCTGGGAAGCAGTGCCTGGGAGCAGCTCACGCTGCCAGGTGAAACCAGACACAGCCTCATGGCACAGACTGGGAGGGAGTTTGCAATCGAGCGCCTGAGTGACAGTAAAGTCACAGGCACAGGAACGAACACAGGCCTCTCAGAGATATTGGGGTTCAGTTCAGCAAATACTGCAAAGAAGTGAGTCACACGATTTTTTGGGTTATGTTTACACTTTACCGTAGTCTATTAAGTGTACCATAATATTATATCCAAACAAACAATTTCTCAATTAAATGTGATGGAGACAGGAAGTGCTAGAGCACACATTGTCGGGAAAGTGGCACCAACACACTGGCCAACCTTCCATGTGTGAAAACACACCATCTTCAGGGTGCAATAAAGCAGAGCACGCCTATAAACGTATTCACACAAAGCTTTCAAATGGGTCCCTATTTAGAATCCTGTGGCAAGAACATGAGTTCAAGCTCAGTCTTTCAACAATGGTTTTCAAATGAATTACAGACTTAAAAGCCCAAATCAGGGGCCTCCCTGGTGGCGCAAGGAGTTAAGCACCGCACTATGAGGCAATCCACAACCTCTGCGGCATGAGTTCGATCCCTGGCCGGCCACAACCCACGTGGCGCAGAAGACCTCTCCTGTCTCACCCGCTGCTCCCCTCAGCAGTGTAGTTTCAGTCAGTCTGCCTGTTCTGTTCCTGCTCTGTTTCTGGTGAATCGTCTCCTCTCAACCCCCCCACATCTCTGGCCTGTACCCCAGCTCTTGTATGCATAAATAATCTTTTTTTTTTTTTTTTTTTTAAGACAAGCCCAAATTAGTAGATGAGGGAGTGGAGGAGAGTCACAAAGAGAAAGGAGAAACCAAAAGAGCTGGAATTTGTGAGGGTTTTTAATAATCTTAAAAGCAGAGGAAGGGCTTCCAAACATCACGTGGAACTCAGAACTGCAGTGAGGAAGCACCATGCTGAAAGCCTTGCAAGGAAGCAGCAAGAGCCCTCACCCAGCCCCCTGTGCCCAGAGCTGCTCCAGAGTATGCAGGACCTTTCGTTGTCACAGCCCACTCAGATGGCACCTCCCCCAGAACAGGTCTGAATGGTGTAGGCCTGGGCAGGTGGCCCAGCTGAGGCTCCAGGGCCAAAGTGGCTGGAGGCCAGCCTGGAGGAGCTACAGCTCAACTGCGGGATAGGCCCCACTCCCTGGCAGGGACAGACCTGAGCATCCCCGGCCCTGCGGTTGGTAGGTCAGAAATTCTGTCCCTCTGTGTTCCAGCAAGAGCTCACTGCTCAGGACCTGGACAACCCACAGAAGCCCTCGCTCCCCTAGGCAGAGTCACAGACCCCAACTTCCACCCTGTGCCTCGACAGTGATGAGCTGACCACCCCAAACAAAATGCTTGTCACCAAACAGGTTCAGCTTCCTTTTCCCCAACCCTGGACCTGCTACCAGCCTGAACCCTCAGACCCCCGAAAACACACTGGCAAGGGGAGGAGTATGCTATGTGCTATCAGACCCCGCCCCATGACCCCACCTGGGTCAGTCAGCTGTGTCCACACCTCCCTGCAAAGGGGTACCTGTTCCTCTGCCCCTCTAGAGGATTGCTGATCGCAGGGTTGCAGGACTCCCAACTGTGACAGCCCCCACCCCTACAATGGTCCTAAAATAGTCTCGTACTAAGTCCAGGTTTGTTTTTTAATTGACAACAGATTACAAACAACTTGAAGTCCCCAATCTGGCTGGCAGATGACCAGATGAGAGCTTTGGTTTCATGAGGTCTCACCAGCGAGGGTCCCCACAGGAAAGGAGCCAACTCAGGAGCATGTAGGAGACCCCCACCTCACAGCTGTTCCTGGGGGCAGGTGGGCAAGAGGAAGAAGGAAGGGCTAGCAGAGAAACATCACACAGGCTGGCGACCCCACACTGTGGATATCCAGACCTTGGAAACATCAAACAGCACAGATGTTGTGCTTGAGGCAACTCTCCCTTAGAAAGTGGGCAGGACTCCCTGCAGCCATCAAAGGAGTGGCACGCAGCAGTTACAGACGCTACCCAGACCCCAATCTCCGAACCCCTGCAGGGAACCTGAGATGTTCCGGCAGACCAGCCCCACAATCATCAATGCTGGCAGCCTCTCTGGGCCAGGGGCTGCAGATCTGCCCACCACTCTCCTGAGTACCAGGGGGTCCCTCTTCTCAAAGGACAGCAACCAAATGTGCAATGAAACATCCCTCTCAGTGGTGATCAGAAAAATACAAGTTTAAAGCGCATGCCTTGCTCCGTCCAGTATCAACAAGAAACAGTGCTAAGGGTCAAGGGTAGGTGGAGGGGCGAGGCCCTCCCCAATGGGCCTTTTCTAGAAAGCAACAGGTAGGGATCATGATGACTCCTCCAGGGGTCAGTGCTAGTGAGGGTACTGCTGGGCAGCATGCACACGCAAAAGTCCTCAGCCTGGGACACACCGGGCCCATGGACCCATGCTGCTTTACCAGCAGGGACGCATCCTGAGAGGGGCGTCATGTGTGCATCAGGGTGGGATCACAGAAGCCCAGACAGTCCTGCCTCACGCCACACCCAAGCTGTGCGTTAGAGCCTCTGGGAACACTGTCCTGGCCACGGTGTCACTGACCAAACTGTCAGTAAGTGATGAGTTCCTGTGTAAAACATTTGTCCCCAAACAGAGGATGAAAGGAATGAGAAAGCACAAAGGCTTGAGGACACCAAGTCATGGCATGCCCCTTCTGGACACTTGATGCCAAGTGAGTGCTGGCCCTCTGAATAGCCCACCTCCCCACCTGGGGCAACAGTGTCCCGGCCACCCTACAGGAGACCTGTTACTACCCAGGGAACACTGTTAAAATTACCTTCTCAAAATTCACCAGTCTGAGTGTGGCCCCCACCCTGGACAGTGGCCTAGGAATGCAAACCCGAGAGTCGAGGCAGGTCTTGGGGTGGTGCCCTCCTTCAGCAACAAATGAATTCAACAATGATTGGACTTAGGAGAAAGGCTGGATGATGGGGTCAGTGCACCCACCACCTTTCCCACCTGCACAGCTGGTTTCTGCAGAGAAGCAGAGTGTCTGAGGGAAGTGGGTTCATGCTGAGGATGGTTATAGCCAGGAGCTGTGGCGGCTGGCAGGGGTGTGGGAAGGTACACAACATGCTACGTCTAACAGCAGGGCACTGCCTGGCCACCAGAGCCACCTCCAGCATACCTGGCTCTGAAAGGAAAGGGTGGATTCTTATCCATGAGTGCCGCAGACCAGCACAGCAGTAGACGATGAGGCCACCTCAGGGTTGAGAGAAGCGTGCAGGGTGGTCAGGGAGTCGGAGAAAGAAATGACAAACAGACACACTTCAAGAGTGAAAATCTGAGTGTAATTTTCTTTGAGTTTGTGACCAGTATATATATGTTTTCCAAAAGCACAGGAATGAATATCAAGGAAATTAGCTTGCTCGAGGTGATCTACATAACAAACAATGACCATTATAGAAGAAAGGAGGAAGTTTAGAAAGACAAATAAGGGATTAAAGTTTGTAGTTCTAGGAAGAGGGATAAGATTTTTAGCATTCTTGTAGTGGTTCTCGGTGGTCGTTATCGTTTGATAAGCTTCTGCCTTTTCAGGGAACTTCCGCTGCACTTCCTCTGCTTCAGGCTGTTCTCCCGAGTGCTGGTTGCCCAGCCGGATCTAGGGACCGTGGCGAAAGCCATTCCTAAATATCACTGCGGAGGGAGGTACAGCAGGTATGTAGGGTTTTGCTGTTCTTCCCCTGCGCGCTGGTTGCCCAGCCGGACCTAGGGCCGGTTAGCCCTAAAGGTCACTGCAGGGGGAGGTGCAGCACATGAGGAGGGGCCCACAGAGGTGGGGCACCATGACCCCCTGCAGCTGCAGGACAGTGGGGACAAGGGCTGTCCCTCACAGCCACAGGGAAAAGCAGAGTAACAGAGGACAAGGCTCCAACCTGCTGGCCCCACCGAGTGAAGGCCCCATGAGGACAACCAACTCAGGCGGATTTGGGCTCAACCAAGTGGAGGCATTAATCAAAGCGGACTTCCTCTCCAGGTCTGCTGGAAGGAGGGCGAGGAGTTCCACCGGCCAGAAGCACTCCACGGTGAGGGTCCTAGCCTCTGCTCAAGTGATGCTGGCATGATGGCTTAGCAAGCCTGCTGTCTCCAAATCATATGGGACATCTTTATTTTTTTGGATGCGTTTGTGTTGTTGGCGCCATACTCTCTCCACTTCTGCAAACATCTGGTGCGCTCAACACAGCACGAGGCACAAGATTCTTCCATATTAGCCAACGGCCCCTGGAGCACCAGGACACAAGACTGGGAAGTCCATGTGTGCAGAGCCCCAGGGCTTCTATGATCCTCACTCCCAATGGGTCCCAGCCCACCTCATCCCACAGAGGACAGGTCAGGGGTGGTTCCAGGTCCAGCAGAAGCTGACACCGTCTGGGGGCAGGGCTGGAGGCTCAGCCAAGGACAGATGGTTGTTAAAAAGTCCATTAAAAATGACCACAGGGGGCCTCCCTGGTGGCGCAGGGGGTTAAGCACCACACTATGAAGCAATCTGAAGCCTCTGCAGCATGAGTTTGATCCCCAGCCAGCCAGGGAGCTACCCACATGGCGCAGCAGACCTCTCCTGTCTCGCCCGCTGCTCCCCTCAGCAGTGTATTTCAGTAGATCCGCCTGTTCTGCTCCCCACTCTGTCACTGGTGAATCCTCTCACCTGCCGCATCTCTGGCCTGTACCCCAGCTCTTGTATGCATGAATAAATCTTTTAAAAAAAATGACCACAGGTTAAAAATGTTATCTCACTCTATACTCATGTAAATGTAAATAAGATGTTACAACCCCTTTAGCAGAGAAGCCAAAGAACCAAATAAAGAAGGGGCTGGCTGG